CCCCTCACTTGGCAACTGGGAGTCCCGGTTCCTGACCTGTGGATGAGATCTGTATGGGTGAAAAAAAAAAAAAAAAAAGATCTGGGATGTCAATACCGAGACCTGCCGCTACTCCTTCCCCCAAGTGTCAGATACGGCTCGCGTCACCTTCCGCCAGTCGAACATCCAGTCGGAATGGATTGACCAGGTCCGGCCGCAGCTCTATGAAGACCCGGACATCCCGACATTGCAAGTGGCTTCCTGCTCGCTCTCTGGCAACCAGGAGGTCTATGTGTGGGATGTCCGCCGGCCTCTTCTTCCCTTGTATGCCGTTCGCGCGCACAAGGACCAGCCGACCGACATCTGGATGGGCGACGAGGGCGACTCCATGTGGTCCTGTGGCAAAGACGGCATCTTCTGCCGGCTACCCATGGCCACTTGTGCGTACCTCCTTCTTTCGTACCTCCTCTTCCTGTCTCCCTCTCGCTCTGACCCATAGTCTGTTTCCGTCATGCGTGTTTGTCCATTTGGGGATGGGCGAAACGCGCGCGCACACGCTCACACACACACACACACACACACTCGCATGGGCGGAAATATCTCCTTCCCCCTTCACGCAAACACAGATGGCATTTGTATCCCCGACTCCCTGTCACCGGCCTCGCTCTCGTGGGCCGCCGACGGGAGCCTCTTCTCTCTTGGGCCAGCGGCCGAGGGAGATCGCAGCCTGCTGGACACCGGGCTGTCCATCCCGGCGTCCACATTGCTCGGGCCATTGCTCGGTGAGTTTCCCGGATCGACGCCGGTGGCTGGCCCCGGCAGCGGGGGCCCCCCGCCGGCGCCCCCGCTGCCGGACGGCCTGCTTCACGGTGCCGGGCACCGCCATGGGACCTCCCTCTATCCACGCGGGGGTCAAGCATACTCCTCCTCCGACAGCCTGTTTGACTCGGCCCTGGATGATACATACAGCTCGGCCTCTCTGAGCCTGTCGGCCCCGCCTTCTCCCACTGAGCGCCACTCGACATCCGCCTCGCCACCCAACAATGCCGGGACCGCGGGCAATACCCTGTCTCCGGCTCGGGGCCGCACACAGCCCAGTGTCCGCGGGGCGGCGGGGCCCCCTGGCTCGCCGGATCTTGGCGACGCCATGGGTGAGGAGTTTGACCCCCGGCTCCGGTCGCTGCTGGATCCGGCCCCAGGCCCGGCACCCACACTCAGCCGGGCGTCCTCCTTCCTGGATCTGGACCGGGCTGCCGCGCGTGATGATGCCTTCTACGAGTGTGTTCATCCATCCTCAAGAGCCCGTCTGCTGATGCTGCCTCTCCCCTTCACCCTCAACTCACCTACATATCTGTGCTCCCCGCGCGCCTCCCCCGCCCCCCCCCCCTCCCGCCGCCCCTCTACTCCTCGGGCACAGGACTGGCTACGCGTCGGAATATGTGGCGGAGTTCATCTCCGAAACACATCTCCTTCTGAGCGGGGCCCTCAATGAGTCGAGCCACTCGATGCCCGACTCGGAGGGTCTGCATCCGGCAGCCAATGGCTCCCTTCCCCATGTGCGCTTGCCTGCCGCGATCGGAGCACATCACTCACCTGCCTCTGACCTTCTGCTTTGCCATGCATTCCCCCCCCCCCCCCCCCCCCCCCCGCCCGCAACGTGCAGAGGCGCTTGACTCCGGCGCATTTGCCAGCCCGGCGGGTGGTCGTCCGGAAATCCGCCCACGAGATGATGCCCCAACTGGGTGCCATCTTGCCGACGTGGACCTTCGACTGGCGGACTTTCTGCCACCTGGCGGATGCCTACATCATCAGCCTGGACGGGGCTTTGACGACCGGGCCACGCACCCTCTCCCAGGCCCTCGAGTGGAATGCCCGCCTGGCTGAGGAGGCCCGTGAGCCGGCGCATGTGGCGGCCAATTGGCGGCTGCTGGCCGAAATCTTTTCCCGAGTGCCCAGCTTGACTCCGTCCACGCTATCGGGCCCGGAAGAGGCCACACCTCTGTTGGCTTGGTCGGGCGCAGAGCAGACCCTATTCCCTCTGGCCGATCCCCCTGCCGGGGAGTCCGCCCAGCAGACGCAGGCAGTTGCCTTGGCCCGGCGGGCCCGGCGCGATGCAATGCTTTCCGGGGCGGGGCTGTCAATTCGCGCGCTGGATGCCACCCTGTCCCGAGGGCACATGTGTGCTGGAGGCATTGCGGCGGCTGCCAACTGCAATGTCATCGGTTGCCCCTCGGGCGCGGCCGCTGACCACGCCGAGCTCCCGGCCGATGGCCAGTTGCAATATGTGGCCCCGGGATCGGATCGATCTTCCCTCGACGGCCCGCCGCAGGTGATTGTCTTCCCCCCTTCACCGGGCAGTAGGGGAAGACCGGGGCCTCCAGCGCGTATGGCGGCTCCCGGTGCCGGGTTCCGCATCTTTGGCGCCGGCATTTCTTGCCCTCATGACACCCTCCCGGAGGACAGACCCCCGGCACATGGCCAATCTAATGTGCCTGACACCGTGCGTTGTATCCCCCTTCGTGCTTTTTCGCGCTCGCTGCCCCCCCCCCCTTTCTTCCCTCCCTCCCTGTGCCTCTCTTTGTGTTTCTGTTTCCCCCATCCCCCCATCCCCCCATTTGAGCTCGCCTCACGGGTGCCACTTTCTCTGCCCCCAACCGTGGCCCCTTCACCCTGACACACCCTGCCCCCGGTCCTGCCTTGGGTGCATGGGACCCAGCCCTTGCTTTGGCGTCCGGGTCGGGGCCCTGCATCACCGATGCCCGAGCGGCCAATCTCCCTGGACCCTCTGGGTTCCATCACGGCCGCCATGCTGCACATTGCCGATGGCCGTGGCCCGACCAATGCCACCGGTGCCGACATCCCGACCGGGGATGGTGAGTCCCTGGTGTCACGCTGCACCCTTGCTGTGCCGGCCTTCGCCAAGTCTGCCCTGCTGCGCATGCTCGACCTCTACACGGAGCTTGGCCATGTGCAAATGTGCGCCACGGTGGTCTTGCTATTGCGCCATGCCCCGGCCCCGGTGCTGGCGCAAGTTGCCCCGCCAGCCCGTCTGGAGCAATGGCTCCTGGCGTATGTGGACCTTTTGCGGCGCTTCCGCAAACATGTCACCGCAGCCAGCCTCATCAGGACTGCCCCCCTGCCGGCGGTCAGCCAGCTGTCCCAGCAATTCACCTCTGTGCAGGTGGGCTGCTCACATTGCCTGGCCAGCATTTCCCCGACGGCGGCGGTTTTGGAAACCTCGGGCATCCCTCTGGGGGATGTTCGAGCTGGTCACCGGGCCCGTCGGCGTTTGTGCGCCCGCTGCCGCCAGGCCCCGGCCAGGTGCAGCGTCTGCCGAGACCCGATTGGCGGCCTGGCGTCTTGGTGCATGGGCTGCGGGCATGGGGCACATGTGCACTGCTCGCGCCGGTGGTATGCTCGATTTGTGTCCTGTCCCTCGGGCTGCGGGCATATTTGCGTCCTGCGACCGACCACCGGAGCGGTGGATGCCGCGCGGCGTCTTCTTCACAAGGCCGCCGCCCCGGCCACCGGCCCCGCCGCCTCTGCCTCTTTCTCGGCGGAGGGAGACCCCGAGCTGGGCCACGGTGGTGGCGGTGATGATGATGATGATGACGATGATGATGATGATGGCGATGATGATGATGATGGCGATGATGACAAGTTCGCCATCCCCTGGCAGTCATCGCTGCCCGGGCAGAAGTTGGATTCGTCCCACTGCTCGGACACCCCAGGCTATGTTGGATCCACGTGCGTGGCATTGGTCCCGATGCCGGCGTCAGCTCTGGCCACTGCCCGGCGCCCGGTCCCGCCCGGACCGGCGGCCGCCCTGCGGCGTCCCGGGATGCTCCCCTCCTCCGGAACGCTCATCATCATGGATCGCCCGACCGGCTCAGGTATGTACCCTCCCTTTTCACGCGCCCTTGGCCTTGCCTCGCCTCCTGCCTGTCCTCCATCTGCCTCTTTTTGCAGACACTCATTTTGCATTTTTCCTCCCTCGCCAGAATCGGCCCCGCATCGTCCGGCTGCCATGCCGGCTGCCACCTCGCAGCCGGTTGCCCCTGCAGCCCAAGCGACTCCAGCAGCGTCAGCCACCTCGGCAGTCTCCGCGGCCAGCCCTGCACTCCTCATGGCATCCCTGCTACGACGGGCTGGCCCTGGACAAGGCTCGACAGGGCTTGGTGCACGGTAATATACGGCTATGCTCTCCCCTCCCCCCCCCCCCCCCCCCCCTCATCATTTTTTTACTCATATGTGATAATGTGACTGTGCGCGCGTGTGTATGCTGTTGTGCTCGACTCTGGCCAAGTGTGTTCGTATTTGTATTCACGGGAGGTCGTGCCCCTAACAAGCGCCATTCATGCAAGGGATGGCCAGGCAAATGCCAGAAGGACCAGGAGACGTGGGAGAAGGCCATGCGGCTGGCAGGCCGGACGGGGGGAAGAAGGAGGAGGAAGAGGAGGAGAAAAACAAGAGGAAAGTCGTGAGCACGCGCACACATGCATGTAGACACACACACACACACACACACACGTCACCGCCGCATCAGAGCACCATCAATCAACTCCCAGAATCGGGGGACAAGGTTGGAGCCGGGGTTGGACATCTGCTGCCCCGACCCGGATGGACGCTCCACCTGAAGGACCTTCAGGTTCCAGCGCTTCAAGTTGTCGTCCAACTGGGTGCCCGCATTGTTGAAGTACAGACCAAGGGCTGAATGGGCGCATGCGTCAGCGGAAGCACCAAGAGGAGGGGGCAGAGAGAGAGGGTGGCAGGAGAAAGGGGGAAAAGCAAGAAGCACATGCGCATTTGCAAGCAAAGACGCACAGCGGTTGAAAATGTCGGCTGGGGTGTTCCAGCCGGCGGGCCACGTTCGCCACTGCCACTCCTTGCCATTGGCAATCACACAGATGACCTTGTCCCTGGAGCGACCAATCACCGGAGCAGAGAGGCAGGGAAAGGGACAGGGAAAGGGACAGGGAAAGAGAGTGCGGCCGGGCAACAAAAAGGAGCGTCAGCCAGCCGAGAATGGCTTCATCGGAAAGGGGAAGGAAGATCGCATGACGCACCAGTCCCCAGGCTGGGGGTTGTCCTTGAAGATGAATGTCACAGTGCGGCCGCCAGCGGCGCCCGGAGCATTGCCAGGGCCCGCAGCCCCCGCAGCGCCAGGCCGTACGCCTGGGCCGAGAGTGCGCTCGACCTTGAAGGAGCCGCGCTGGATCTCCGATCGCGGGATGGCCGTATGCGGGATGTACCTGCTCAAGTGGGGTGGTCAGTCGCGGTCGGCCCCCAGGACCCCCGAAGGGAGGCGGGCGAGGAGGAAAGTGAGAGAAAAAAGCAACAGCAGCAACAGCAGCAACAGCAGCAGCGACAGCAGCAGCAGCAGCAGCGACAGCAGCTCAGGGCAGAGGGAAACGCACTTGCTCTCTGTGAAGAAGGGCTTGATGTTCTGCAAGGTCAGGAGCGCGGACGTGCCAGAGGGAACCACAATGATGAAGGTATTGTCAGCTGGCCAGTTGCCGGATCCGGCCAAATCCCTGGCCACCGGGTGCCCCGAGGAGCGACTCCGCCCGGAGCCAGGAGCCCCGCTTGCCGTGGCGGAAGAGCCGCCCGCCACGGGCCGGGCGCCAGGGGCCTTGCTGCCGGTGCGCCCAGCGGCCCCGGCAAGTGCACTTGGATGCCGCGATCCAGCGGCCGCGGCCGATTGCTTAGCCTGACTATCCAGGCTCTTGAGAACCTGCTGCACCGATTCGAACGACTGCCAGGAGAAGAGGCCGGGCGGGGCAGAAAGGTTAGAATATGTCGGCCGGTGCTCAGGTTTGCCGAAGGGCTGGAACACACCCCGGTTGAATCCGACAGCAGGTAATTGTGACGATTGACAAAGACCCGCTCGAGGCCATGCGGATCACCGTAGTCGAAGGCCGCGCCCGAAGGGACCGACATGCCGGACTCGCTGTGAGGCAGGGGGGGGGGGAAGTCGGGCAAATAGACGAGCAGGAGGGAAAGGGCACACACACACACATACAGACACACACACACACACACGCAGACGGCGCACATGGCGGGGAGGGCGAGGTCAGACGGGAAGGAGGCAACATCCAAAACTGCAGGCCCGGTGGCAGCAGGGGCAAAGACGCACTCATGACGACGGCGCTTCAGGGCAGCCGGGCCGGTGTCAGCCTGACCAGCGAGGCGGCCGCCAGCGCCAGCAGCCCCAGCTCCAGCCGGCCCGGCCGACATGCAAACGGCCACCTCACTGGCCCCGGTCAGGTACTTGGTGATGTCGGTCCGGTCGACCAGGAAAACCGTGGAAAAGCCGGCCACCTTGGCCTCATTGGTGTAAGTCACCGTATCTGTGGCCCGATGCTCCAGCAGGAACCACACCACATCCAGGGGGTAGGGGTCCTGCTGGCCGAACAGACGCCGGAAGTTGGTCGGCATGGCTCGGGGGAAGGACAATTCCCGCCCATCCGGCGATGCTGAGGCTGGGAAGACGAGCAGGTCTCCCTCCAGTCGGGCGCGTTCTCCACGCATGGTGATCTCCCGGAGGAGGGCCGCCACGTCGACCGACGCCGAGGAGCTGGCGACACCGGCATCCGCGGGAGCCGCGGGGGTGGTGCTGGCGGAAGCCGTGGACATCAGCGGAGGCCGGTCGCACGAGACGAGGCTGAATTTCGGGGTGACAGGAGAGCCAAGCGGGAGGGGGAGGGAGGGAGGGAGGGAGGGGGGGCGGGGAGCCGGCAGAGAGCAGCACGGGCGCAGAGAGTAAAGGAGAGGAGAAGGAGGAAAGCGGGCGCTAGTGAAAACGGGCGGTGTAGATCCCCCCGGGAGCCGGGCCCAAGTTGGGCTGCGGGGGCCGAAAAAAAAAAAAAGAGACCTGCAATAACCACAGGAAGGCGGGAAAGCTAGCCCAAGCGTGGGCATCCAACCGGAGGAATGCCAACGCATTCGGCCGAAACGTACCAGTGTGACCGGATCGTGTGATTGGCGCCTCGGCTCCCTTCTCCAAGCTGTGGTCGTCCGTTGGTGCCTAACAATCCCGAGAATCCTGCTCCACTCCACCCGCCCTCCACAGCATCCGAAGGACCCAAGCAGCAAGCAGAGCAGGGGGGGGGGGAGGATCTTGCCCAGCCCGAGCAGCGACGGGCTCCGGCCCGACTTGGAGCCTTCTCCCAAAGAGGATGATGCTCACCTTGATCGGGCCCATCCAGGCAGGATATCTCCCCGCCTGAGTGATGCCCCGCCTTCCTCCTTGCCTCTCGGTGACATCCTCCTCGCCCTCGCCGTTGCACAGCCCAGCGCCATGTCAGCAATCCCTCCCTGTGATACGCCTGACCGCCTGACTGATCCGTATGTCACTTTGCCGGCAGCCGGCGAGCCGGTGGATGCGGGCACGGCCAGCTACCCGGCCGACCTGCCCGTCAGCCCGAGCTGCCTGGCTGACTTGCGGCTGAATCATCCCCGCTTCGTTCGAGCCACCGGGCTCTATGTGACCAGGTCGACCCTCGGCCCGGAGGTGGGCCTGGGTCTTTTTGCGGCACGCCGCCTGCCAGCTGGCCAAGTGATCGCAGTCTACGGTGGCATCCTGCCGACCGAATGGGTATGCCGCCTCCCCCCCCCCCCCCCCCCCCCCCCCCCCCTTCCCCCCGTTCCGACTCGCAGAGACATCTGCAACCTAAGGGCACCCTGTCGCTGCCACTGCCGCGTTGCGCTTGATCTCCAGTTTCCTGACCCTTGCACTGACATCCTCCTGCTTCCTTTGCCGGGTCGCGGATCCCAGGCCATCCACCGGTCCAACCAGCCGGATTGGGACCAATGCCTTGCGTTCACCATGGAGCTGGCCGATCCAGAAACCGGCATCAACGCCGGCGCCGCCCCACCTTGGGTCGATGCTGGGCCACTGCTACAGTCCATGCCTGCCCGGTATATCAACCACAGTTCGCGCGCCGACCGACGGAATGTGGCGTGGCGCCGACGCCCGCACCTCCTCTTGGCTGAGGTAATTACCCTGCGTGATATCCAGCCCGGGGAGGAGCTTTTCGCCGATTACGGCCCGCAGTATTGGACCGCTGGGCCGGCTCCGGTGAATGAGTAGGACACACAGGGGGAAAGAGGGAGAAGGATAAAGGGAGATCGGAAAATAGATGAAGACGCATCGCTATTGCTATATTGTGAAGAGGAGAGAGAGAGAGAGAGAGAGAGGGGGGGGGTGCGGGGAGGGGAAGGGACATGGTGCATAGGCGTGCATCGGCACACACGCGCGCACACACGTGTGCAGAGAGGATGCTCACGTCGCCGAGAGGCGGTGGACAAATGACTCGTCAAGGCGAGAAGACCTGCATCAACGTGCAAACACGCGCATACACACAGACACACACACATACACACAGAGAGAGAGAGAGAGGGGAAGATACATATAGACATACATATGAGCATTGCTCATGCTTGCTACATTCCCTCCTGAGAAGATAAATGAGACAAATGCCGGAGCAAGGGCAGGGACACTGGAGAACAGAGTGGAAAGGAGAGAGAGAGAGGGGGGGGGGGAAGGGAGGGGAACTGTAGAAGCGGGGGCGAAAATGTCCTATCCAAGACAGTAAGACCCCGCCGCAGGGGGGAGAATATGATACAATGGTGGTTCTGGGCACCTCCCCTTGAGCGATGGACACGGGGGCATGGGAGCGATTGCGTGAGCATGCCTTTCGCGTCCCGACCGCAAGGAGCAGAGAAAAGGGGGCCGTCTGGGATCTGAAACAAGGAGGGGGAAAGCATGGATGGGTGCCTAGTTGAGGTCTGAGAGGGCCGCCGGAGAACCAAAGTCGAAGAGAAATGAGAGGGGGAGGGAGGGGAAGAAGGAAGTAGCGTGCGCATGCAGATGGTGAGTAAAGAGGGCAGTGAGCGACCGGGGCAGAGGGAGAGAGGGAGGGAGAGAGAGAGAGAGAGAGAGGAGAGCGATCGCTGGAACCCAAAGGGAAGGAAGGGCAATCAACGTACAGCTCCAGCTGGTGTCCCGATCGCGCATTGACCGGTCCAGATAGTCCTGATTGAAGCGAGTGAAGGAGGCAAACTGCTCGGCCATCTGGTTTTGCAGGATGATGGCAAACTCCTCGCGCAGGTGGCGCTCTCGCTCGTCGGCAGCCCGGGAAACCAAGCTTCGAGCCTGCTCCTGAGTGAATAGCGGCTTGCCGGTGGCCGGATGAAGGAAGATCTCCTCATCGGAACCACCGACATCCGATGCCGACAGCGAGGAGGAGCCCAGGCCAGGAACGCGCACGGGGCCAGTGGGGGGCGCGGTGACTTGGACATTGCGCGAGCCGCAAGAGAGGCACGCGCCAACGGCCCCGGCCGCAGTCAGCCCCATTCCGGGAGACGAGGACAGTGGGCTGAATGGCGGCGAGCTGGCTGGCGCGGAGCCGCCGGAAAACCCGAGCGACCGGAGGACCGGCGACACGGAGTCCATGTCCAGGTCGACGCTGGACCGCCGGGCCCGGGGGGGCGGCGATGCGTTGCCAGCCGCCGGGGCTCCCGAGTGGCGATGGGCTCGCGAAAGCCGGTTCAGACGCTTGCGCGCCGTCTGGGCGAGCGCACCCTGTGCTTCATGCACGAAGGAATCCGAATCGAAGGGCTGGCTCGGGACAAAGCAGCGCAGGTGCTCCGGCTCGGAGGCCAGGCGCGTGCCACCATTCGAGCCCCCGGCACCGGGAGGGTTGCTGTTGCCACCGGCCGAGGGGCCGGCACCCGTGGAAGCAGAGCCAACACGCGCGCGCGCCGTGGCCGGGCGCACAATGCCACCGGCCATCGAGTCGCCCGTGGAGGAGGCCTCCTGTGTCCCGAGAGATGCGTCATCATCGGGAGGAGGAGAGGGAGCCGTGCGGCGGCGACCGCCCGCAATCGCGGTGGACGGCCGAGGAGGGGGAGACCCACGTGAGGGTGTTCCCGGCGCGCGCGAAGACCCCGGGAAGGCGGCATGCCGATCGGTCGAGATGCCAAAAGCATTGGCTGCATGGGATGCCAGCGGGTCCAGCACGGGCGACAAGTGGTGATCGGTCATGCCGATGTCCGGGGAATCCATTGCCCCCGGCCAGGGGGAAGAGGGAACCGCGGCATTATAGACAAGACTATCGAAGACACGAGCCAGCCCAGTGGAAAGAGGCGGAGGGGAAGGGGGCGATTCCAGGTGAGTGGAGAGAGAAAGAGAGAAGAAGAGAGAAGAAGAGAGAAGAAGAGAGAAGAAGAGATAGGGAGGAGGAGAGGAAGAGAAGAAGGGATGTGGAGGAGGGGAAGGAGAGAAGGAGAGAGAAGGCGGATGAAGGCAGCGAAAGCAACCAACACTATGTGTGCAAAGGGGGGGGGGGGGGGGGGGGGCACGCACCGACAACGCTTAGGCACACCAATCATCGACCCGGAGACACGGGCCGCATTCGGATAGTGATGTGGATAGTGCGGGTCGATGAGCATGGAGGCGTCGCCGGCAGCATCCGGAGCTGCCGGGGCTGGCAGTGCGGCGCCTTGAGCCGGGACCTGGAAGGCCAGCTCGTAGTCGAACGGCCGCTTGGAGAGCATGTGGAGGGGACACGCACGCGCGCCGGGTCGTTGCTCGCCTGAATGTGAAAGGGAGTTAGGAAAATGCACGGAAGGCGAGGGGCGGCGGAGGAGAAAAAGAAAGGAAAAGGCTTGAAAAGCCCGGACGCACCTTCTCGGTGAAGGGGCAGGAGGGAAAGGCAGCGGGAGGAGGGGGGGGGAGCGAAAGGGGTGGGAAGAGGCGGGTCGGTGTGTATGTGTGTATGTGTGTGCGCGGGGGGGAGGAGGGTGAGGAGGAGGAGGAGGGGAGTGGGTAGCCTTCTCCGGGCGGAGGCTGGGGGTGAAGGGGATGCCGAAGAAGTCCTCCAAACAACGCGGGAAGGACTCTGTTCGCTATCCGACGCCGGGGGCCCGTGCTGGC